TTCAGGGTTTTGGCCCGGGTGGGCAAGGTAGCATATCGGCTGGATCTGCCAGCGGAACTCAGTCAGATCCACGGCACTTTCCACGTCTCCCAGCTGCGGAAATGTCTGGTGGACGACTCGGCAGTGGTGCCCCTGGAGGATATACAGGTTGATGGCGGCCTGAACTACATTGAGCGGCCCGTGGCGATCCTCGATCGGAAGTCGAAGGATCTGAGGAACAAGAAGGTCGAGCTGGTGAAGCTGCAATGGCAGCACCGGAAGGGCTCGGAGTGGACGTGGGAGTCAGTGGACGAGATGATGGAGCATTATCCAGAGCTTTTTCAGGGCCGAGCAGCAGACTTCGAGGACGAAGTCTAAGATAAGTGGGGGAGATTTGTAGCACCCGGTTCCTGGTATGAATTTTGTTCAAGTATTATTCAATTTCTTTGCCTAGAACTCAGCGAGTTGATGGCCAACGCGACGAGTAGGAGCGACTTGGACCCGGAAGTTTAATGACCTACTCGACGAGTCGGCAGCCAGACTCGACGAGTAGGCCCTGACTGGAAAAAACCCTAATTTAAGGGATTGCACCCTATTTAAACATCTCATTCAGCCTCCCTTCGTCCCTATTGCTCTCAGAACTCTCCATATCAAACGCTAATCGTTTGTGTAAAGATTTAAGGCCTTTGTGGTGGTTTTGGTGATTTTTGGAACACAAGAAGGAAGAGAAAGACTTGAGAATCAAGAGGAGGCCAGAGGTGTTCGAGTTTGTACACCCTCTGCAGTTCTTTAGAGGTATAAAGCTGATACCTTGCTCTTTCATGTTTTAGATCCCTTTTTGGGTTTAATTAGGGCTTTTAGGAGCCATTCTTGGTGACCAACCATGAGTGCAAGCATAGTTGGGGACTAAGACTTCAGATCCAAGATCTTTGAGGGGTTACAAGGCAGAAAGGGACTGATTTTGGAGCCTTAGAGAGCCCCATGCATCATAAGAGTCTCATTTAGGGCCATTTGAGCTCATAGTCCCATGCATGCACGTAAAATTTGGAACTTTACGTGCTAGATTGATCCTATAAGCCTAGATCTATATTTTGGTCAAGTGTTGTTCGTCAGAAATCGAGAAATAAGACTTAGTCCTTCTCGACTCGGCGAGTCGTTATTGGGACTCGGCGAGTCCATGACTTGACTTCCCTTTTCTGTTATGGTTCGAAGGAACCCAGTGAGTGTTAGAGTGGTCATAAACGGTCCGGGGGAATGACCCAACGCATTGGACTTAGCCATAGTCCTGGGGATCATAGGACTCAGTGAGTGTATGAACAGACTCGGCGAGTCCAAGGCAATCTCCCAATTTTCGAAGATGAACTCGACGAGTTGTTCATACAACTCGGCGAGTCAAGGGCAGACTTGTTCATAGGATGGGGATGAACTCGACGAGTTTGTTCATACAACTCGGCGAGCCGGATGAAGGTTCATTCGAGGATGTTTTAGAAGGAGAACTCATCGAGTCGTTGCTAAACTCGACGAGTATGGGCTTGAGGAAGGACAGATGAAAGGATAGGGACTCGACGAGTCAGGTCAACTGGAGGTTAACTTTGACTTTGACTTGGTCAGGGGTAAAATAGTCATTTTACCCTAAGAGTAGTTATCAGTGTTTGACTATGTGTTTTATGGATTTATAGCCAGAGGATCACCGGAGCAACAGTCAAACATCTGCCGATTAGCTTTTCAACAGTCAGCCTTGCGAGGTGAGTTACCTTCCAGTAGCGGTGGGTCTACGGCCACAATGCCGGCCCACCATTAGGAGTTGTATGTTGGATGACTGTCTTTGTGATATTTATCTAGGTTTGCTACTACCTGATGTGTTATGTGCTAGTATGATATGTGTTATATGCTAGTAGCAATAGGGGAGATAGTCCCCAAGATTTCCGGTCGATAGGGCCGAAGGGGGGTAGTAATACCCAGTCATGCTAGATAGAATATGATTATGTGTTATATGTTATGTGGTAGTAGTAGAGGGGTGAAATAGTCCCCAGTATCCGGTCGAGAGGGCCGAAGGGGAGGCCAGCACCCGGATATGCTAGGCAGTATCTGGTCGAGAGGACCGAAGGGGAGGCCAGCACCCAGATATGCTAGGCAGTATCCGGTCGAGATGACCGAAGGGGAGGCCAGCACCCAGATATGTTAGGGAGTATCCGGTCGAGAGGACCGAAGGGGTAGGTCGGGCACCCAGATATGCCTGACAGTATATATATGTTATGTGATTGTATGGTATGCGGTACGATGGGGAGGGAACTCACTAAGCTTCGTGCTTACAGTTTTCAGTTTTGTTTCAGGTACCTCTTCAGCGAAGGGGAAGGAGCCGGCGCGGTAGCCGCACATCATACATACACACGTTGGATTTCTGCATTACGAGATTCTTAGGATTGTACTCTGACGTTGTTATATTTATGGCTTGGTTTTCAGACATGAGATACTAGTTTTTATGAAATGATATCTTTACTATGTTTTCTTATGGAAGTTTATAAATCAATTAATTAAAAATGAAATTTTTGAACTCGAAATTTGGGATGTTACAGTAAATAGAGAACAAAAAATAATTCAGTGACCAAATGTGAACATTTGTTAAAGTATGTTACCCTCTCAAGTAATTATCCCAAAAATGAAATACATGTTGTCTTTTTCTTTCTAGCATAATGTGAAAAGACTATAAAAAGAGAATGTATGGTTTGCGAAATTTACTATATAGCAATTAGCAATATACTGATATTTTTCATCTTTTTAGTTTGTAAAATGACACTTTCTACCCTTCTACTTTGTAAAATGTGATTTTGACCCCTTCAACTTTGAACTTTCTACAATGTCACGTTCACCCCCTTCATTTTATAAACTTTTGTGTATACACATTGTAGTAAATATGATTTGATTTTTCTACGGTTACCATCCCTCAATTTTGTAAATATCACTTTGACTCCCTCGACTTTGAACTTTGTAAAATATCATTTTCACCCACTTGACTTTCTAAAGTTTAGGTGTTATTTGGTTTATAGAATGTTTATGAAGTAATTGGAAATGTGATTTGTCAGGAATTTAAACCCAATTCCATATCTAGTTTGGTTGACATAAAATAAAATTAGAATTAATTCCAGATTATGTTTGGTTCGCATGAAATAGAATTAAAATCCATATAAAATGACAGAAAATACCTTTTTTGTTTGTTTTGCTTATATTTACTTTAATTGCTAACTTATATGTAAATATACATTATATAAATTATAAAAATAGTAAAATCTCAACAGTGGCGGCAATAGCGGTGGTGGTGGGTGATGGTAGTAGTGGCGGCGGAGGTGGTGATAATGATGACAGTGGTGGTTGTGATGGCAGTGATGGGGTGGTGGTGGTTATGGTGACGACGGTAGTAGTGGCGACGGTAGTAGTGGTGGCGGGTGATGGTAGTGGTGGTGATGGTGGCGGTGGTAGGTGATGGTAGTGGTGGTGGTGGCGACGGTAGTGGTGGTAGTGGTGGCGACGACAGTGGTGGTGGTGGTGGCGGTAGAATTGGTGACAGCAATGTTAATAATGGTGGTAGTGACGATAATGGTGGTGGTTGTGGTGGTTACGATGATGGCTTGGTAGCGGTGGTAGTGATGGTAGTGATATTGGTGGAGTTGGTGGCGGTGGTGGAGGTGACGGGGTGATGGTGGTGGCGATAGTGGTGGTAGTGGTGGCGGCAGTGGCGACGATGGTGGTGGTGGCTGCGGGTGGTGGTGGTGGTGGTTATTGATGGCGGTGGCGGCGGGTGCAGTGGTTGTTGGTAGCGAGTGACGGTAGTGGTGGTGGTGGTGGTGGTGGCTGGTAGTGATGGTGGTCGCAGTGGTGGTGGTGACAGTGACGGTTGGTGGTCGGTAGCAGTACTGGCGGGTGTTGGTTTTTGATAAAGGGGGTATTTTTGTAATCTGTCACTTTCTTTTATGAGAATGAATGTTTTCCATCCAATTTTGGAAGGAATCTACTTTCCTCCATATGGGTGAAAATTTATTTCATTTAGGAATCCTTTCTGCCTCTAAGTCCAACCAAATGCATGAATTCGAGGGAATTGAAATTATATTCCCTCAAATTTCATTCATTTCCTGACAACTAAACACGCCCTTAGTGTTTATCTCATTCACCGATAATTATTATCCCTTAACTTTGTAAAATGTCACTTTGACCTATCAACTTCCTAAATTTTCGTGTTTATCCCCTGTAATATATATAATCTGATTTTCTTAATAACTTTCGTTTGTTAAATTAAAAAAATTATTACATGCTTATTTTTTTAAAAAAAACTTAGTTGTTTTTTTATATACGTGTCGGTATAAATTCGAGTCTGTCTATGTTTCGGCGTAATTTTTTTACACTTTCGTGCTTATTTTTATGTACGTTTTTACATACGAGTTAGGTCACATATACTACTTTATCATTCGATGATATAAATTAATGTTAGTTAGTGGTACCGGCCTTATATATTTATCTACCAATAAATGCAACGATATCTAACTTTTATCAATTAAATCGTTAAAATTCAAACTATAAAGCGGATTGGCCCCGCTGTAGTGTGCGGTGAGCAAACTATTAGTATTATTTTCAATTAATTTGCAATTTTTTTAAATAAGTTATTAATTAGCAAAATAAAAAATCATACCTATTTGTAACTAAAATCACTTATAAAATAATTTTGCAAAGTTAAATATACTTTGCAAAGTTTTTTTTATTAAATAGACAGTATTTAGGAACATTCAAAAAACTGTATTTTCGTGATATAACACTTCAGATTTATTTTCTTATTTTTTTTAATTTATTATTATTATTGTTATTTAGTGGCTATCTCTCTTAACAAAATGTCTTTCTTGACTTTGGGTTTGTATAGTTTGTCAAATGTCAACTTAATTTAATTTGTTCACCACGCAAACTTTTACGCGGCATTTCGTTTGACCAAGGCTCTATATATAAAAGTAGAATACATTGTCTCCATCACAAACATAATATCTTACATCTATTCAATCGTTTATACTTACAATCTTGGAGAAATAAAAAGAAGTTGAAAGAACATTTTCCTACAATCTTTTCTCAATTGAACATCATCGATCCTATCTGTTTGTGTTGATAATTAATGGGTCAACAAACTTCCAATCAAGCTTCTGTAATAGGACATCAGTTTGTTGCACCATATCCAATTGATATCATAGTGGAGTCAAATTCAAAAGGAAAGTTTGTGGTCACAGATACTGAAAATAAACTCATGCTCAAAGTAAAGCCATGCGATTCAACATTCCATCATCAACGTCTACTCCTCAGTGCAGATGACAAACCCATTTTGATGCTGCGGGATAAGGTGATTCAAAGTTTCTTGTTTTTAGATCTTGTTTTAGTGTTCTTTAATTACTTTGTTTAAGATCTTATTTTAATTTGCAGATCTTGAGTAGCCATACTCGATGGAATGCCTTTTGGGGTAAAAGTACATCCAATTCCGATCTGGCGTTTAGCACAAAAACACCAAGTATAATCCAGTTTAGGAAGAGTTTACATGTGTTCTTGGCAAATAAAACAAGCAGCAAAGGTGTATGTGATTTCAAGATCAAAGGAAGCTGGTCGAAGAAAAATTGCACTATTTACATGGGAGATTCTTCAACGATAATAGCTCAAGTAAAACTTTCATACTTTTTACTCTGCTATTTAGTGATTTTCGTACTGTGTATATGGGTTATTAACGTATTATGATACTTCAAGCTAATTTTCTTATATGTTTGCTATTGATGCATTGTAGATGCATAAAATGCAAAAATCTAAGAAAGTGAAGTCAGCTAAGGGCAAATTCATGGTGACGATATCTAAGAATGCAGATTATGCATTTGTGATCGCACTTATTGCTATTGTTCATGCTATGAAAAGCACAGAAGATGAATACGCTGAACAAATTACCGCAAGTGTTGGTCAAGTTATTGGTGCAACAGTTTGAAGTATTGCTCAAGTTGATGATGCAAGTACTGTTTCCTATACATATTAGTTGCATTCTCGAATTGTAAATTTATTTCAACAGTTTTATTTACTCAAAATTTTCCTCATTGTATATCCTTCAGTTATAATTAACGCTGCAATTTTATTCTATTGATGGTTTCATATATATATATATATATATATAATATATATTATATAGATATATATATATATATATATATATATATATATATATATATATATGGTACAATGTTTAAGCATTAACATATATAGACTATGGGTTCTGGTTCTTTAATATGATACGAAAAGAAAGTTAGAATAATTCCGAACCATTGTAATTTGGGAGAATTTCTTTTATGTCCTTATAAACTTTCATAATCAGACCTATATTATTGTAAAACTTTGAATTACATGTATATCTTTATAAAACCTATAAACTCACATATATACCCAAATAATATCGACCTACCGAGCAAAGTTTAGGTCCGAAATTCAAAATCCGACATGGAGCTACCATCGATCCAAACATGTTCATCATCCAAATTAGGGATGTATATGTTGGACTAGGTGTCTAAGCCATAACTATATTTGGTATGCACTTGACCCAGTTGTAGCATGATCCTTTTGGATTGCCTTCACCGAAGCAACTTAACTGGATGAATAATAGAGAAAGAGGTTATTATGGTTTATTAATATATTGTTTGAATAATATATTAAAAGAGAAATCATATTATTTAATTAACATTGGTCAAGAATTAATTTAGAATTAATTTTGTGATCAAAAATAGGTTAATTGAATTAGGGGGACTGATATTGTAATTATAAGATAGTTGCAATATGGCATGTGGATCCTTTATGAAAGGGATGGACGATTTTATACGGAAGCCCATATAGAAATCGTCCAAGCTAGGGATTCTGGAAGGATCTAATGGGCTGCTTAGGGATTAAGCAACCAGATTAGGTATTTTGACTGAAACCGTAACTCTGCAGCTATATAAGGAACCCTTGGGCACTAGAATTGTGACAACCCGAAATTTCCATTTGAACAAACTCAACCGTCTAGCACTCAATTAAAAGTCAAATTCTTTTCTGCTAAATTTTAGCTCGGTTTAAAGTCTGGTTGGGTATTTTTAATATTTATTTACTTGAGAGAACAAATTAGAGGAAGTATACTTTAGGATTAATTGTGCAACATTTAAGTCACAAAACTCCAAGAGTTGGGAGTTTTCGGCCCAAAATAGTGTTAGGGCCGAAAACCCTAAAGGGTATATAAATGACACTTAGTCATTTTTAGTCATTTTTCCCATTTCCAAGTCAAGAACAATTCTCTCTCAAGTATCATCCGAATTTTTGTCAAGATCTTCAAGATTGTAAGTGTTTCCTTCCTTGTTTAGTCGATCTCTTCCATTATCTAGTGATCTTACATGATTTCATCCATGAAATCATTCCATTTTCTTAGATCTTCAAGTGTTCTTCATTTCACCAAGAACACACACTAGTGTTTTGGGCCGAAAAACACCCTTCTTTGCTTCCATATTGTAAGTATCTATCTCCTATACTTTTTATCTAGTAAGGATACTTGATTTAGGGACTTGAAAACATCCATTTATCCAAGAACAAAAGGTGTTTTCGGTCTAGTGCATCTCCTTAGACCGAAAACCCTTATGAAGGGTGCAAAAATGGCTTTAAACCTTTCCTAAAGCTTAGTCATGAATCTAGAACACTTCATTGATTGTTGAAAGCCCTTGGAAATCACCTTATGCACCAAAAATCATGAGTTTTCGGTCTTAAACTCAGGGACCGAAAACCATATGGACCGAAAACCATTTTGACCGAAAACCATATGGACCGAAAACCTACTTGGACCGAAAACTCCAATGAGAGGCCATACAACCCTTATGTACTCCTAACACTTGAATCAAAGTGTTATACATGTTTTAGGATGTCTTTACTTAATTAATTAGTTGTTAAATGACTAATTGGATACATATATGTGTCAATATATGTTAAATAGGATCCGTGTGTGTGCTCAAGTCTTCACTTGACACTTAGCATCCTATACCATCCGTTCTTCCAAACCCCTCATTTCAGGTGAGTTCATACCCCTTAATCAACCTTTTAAATGATTTTAAATGCTTTTATGGGGGGGAATACAAGTTTAACTATTATAGTTATTATATCAATCACATGTGATTAATAACTACCAAACAAGTGGATTTCTTACTTTTTCAAACTATGTTATCAATCAAACTACTTCAAACTGTTTTACAAACTCTTTTACATGTTAAATACTTTCTATTCTAACTCTTTTAAACTTATAATTTGTCAAATGTGTATCTATATAGATATAGTTATATAAGTAGGATTGAAAGGGCTTAGGACTGATAGCTCGCCTTGCTTCCTGTTCCTTGTTTGGTTGTGGACTTAGGGTATCGGTTAATTATCCGAAGGTCGTTTGAATCCTAGTTATATATTATGTATATGTATATAGATATAAAAGTTACTTATTTCATTTCAATACCTCTAGGTAGCAAAGGTATACAAACATGTTCATACATACAAACAACATTACTAGTAAACTATAATAGGTATAGTTTAGGAAGTTACAATACTATTACTAGAACAGTGAAACATTCAATGAGTCAGTTCATACATGAGTCAATACATACTATGATGAGAAACAAACATAACATACAGATAGAGAATACTATAACGAGAAACAAACGATAACATACAGAGAGAACATACTATTATGAGAAACAGAGAGAACATACATACATACTAGACAGAGAGAACATATAATACAGCTAGTACATACAATATATATACAAGAACATTACAACAGTTATGTGAGCCACGTAACGGGGCATGGCATCACCTGTCATGGCTCGTTTTGTATCCAGAATCTCCTTAAGTGGAGAGTGTTGAGTTTTTGTATAGATATATACTCGATTGACTATCCTACACCTTGATGTTCGCTACAATGGGACTTGAAAGTCTACGGGTGCCAAATGTCATTTCTTCCAACGTCTTTCATCGTCGTGTTTTTAGTCGGTAGTATGGTATAGGCATATCACATGGTACTTTAAATAACAATTGGTTTAAGGTAGTTAGTACAACAGTAGTTACTTAATACAACACTACAATACTTTATTATTTCCCCATTGCATTCACTTTGTGATCTTCACACAATGAACGGTAATGTAAAACTATATTTTTGGTTAATGATAGTCATACTTGGGAAAATACACACTTTTACAAGAAACATACATACAAACATTTGATGCCTTGGTAGAAGGCTACTTTTAGTAGAAAACATAGGGTTTTCTAGGAGAGTTCAAACATTTACAAATAATTACAAACATTTACAAACTTATACATCACATACTTACAAACACTTTCATACAAGCAATGACACTAAAATACTTATGATCTCACCAGCTTTAAAGCTGATAAACTCTTTCAAAATAACTTGTATTCTCAGGTCACCAGTAGACAGGTACCGGTGCCAGGTTTTGAGAAGATGGAGCTCGTTCAAGACTCATCTTTTATTTTGTTTCATACTTTTGGTGTCTATTAAACTTAACAGAACACACTTGTATTAAATTATATTATTAATGCAATGGATGATGTTGTTGCTTGTTTACTACTATTCATTGTTGTGATACTGTACATGACGTCCTCCAACCCTGAACGTTTCCGCCGTTCCGGTTTTGAGGTGTGACAAGAATTCGGCTACCAGAAACCCTAGAAGGAATCCAGAGCTGCTTTTAGCCTCCTCCCTCTCTCTCTTGCTTTCTCCAATTGCTTTGGTGTTTGTGATCTACTAGAGGCATCACACTTGAGGTGCTAAAGTTCTCAAAAGCTCAAGATCTTCAAGCTACAATCAAAGGTAACATTCTTACTAGTTTAATTATGTTGATTTCGTTTTGTTGTATGCTAGATTAGGGTTTGCAAGTCTTGGACAATTATTGCATGTACAATTAGAAGAACTAGATCCAAGTATTAGGGTTTGCATGTGCACCATAGGATTGATGTGATGCTCATAACCCAACAGTGGTATCAAAGCATATATCGTTTTTCTTTTGTATTTGATGCATTGCTAATTTGTTCAAAGCTTGAAAATCAAAAAATTGAGCCTCTGACTGATGAACTCGTCGAGTCACCTGATGGACTCGACGATTCAGATGAACTCGACGAGTCCAATTAGTGACTCGGCGAGTCGGGTCGTCTGGTGGCTGATTTTTTGGGATTTTGACTGAAATTGAATTAGGATAATTACCAAAAACGTTTTTGACTGGTAAAAATCCGATTTTTTCAATAAGTTATTGATTATCCTAATTCAATTCAAAGATAATTGTCATAAATAAGATAATTACTTGTTTTATATGATAAAGATTGATTATTTGTATTTTGATTTGAATTATCTTGTCAAGTAATAGATTAGGTCAAATTATGTGATAAAGATTAATAATATGATTGATTAATTATTTTTCAAATTTGATCTAAAAAGATGTTTTGAAAGTTTCAAAACTTGCCCTCAAGTTTTGGAATTTAAATTTTTGATTAATAGATTTAATTGTGAAATATTTAAATTCTAAACCCTAGAGTTTTAAAAGTTAAAATTCAACCCTTATACTATTATAATATTAAAAGATTAATAATATATATATATATATATATATATATATATATATTATGTATAAGATAAAGCTATTCTTTACCGTTAGTAGGCCTCATTCACCTACCGCTTCCTTGATTGGTGGAGGGTCGTTAGTCGAACGGGTAGGATAGGGCAACCAATTTCTCATTAATAAGTATAATGACTATATAAAGTAACTAAATGTTTTTATAAATTCTCAATCTTAGTTACTTTAGGAAAAATGTGAAAATGTATGCTATTCCATGAAATTACACTTTGCACCTTGCCAAGTCGTTAGTGGAGCGTGTGTGGTTAACCGGCACACTAATTTGGGACTAGCAAAGGAGGCAAATGGTAACTTGATGTTTATCATAGATCAATGGAGTGTGTGTGGCTAACCGACACATTGATTAGGTGGTAAATGACATCAAGAGTACCAAGTACATTTGCATGGTTATTCACACCTTGTTTGTGATCCTCGGTATCCCAGTCAC